TGAATACAGATAACTAGCCCTATCTAATCCTTGATTAGATAACTGATTAGAAAAGTGTCAAGTTGCTAACCTATAGGTAAAGCAAACATCAAATAGTGAAAATAAAAATTATCAAGGGATTTAAAGCATTATTTGACTGGATTGCTTTCTGTTAGAATGAACTAATGATAAGATCTTTAGAAAAGCTAGCTCTGCTTCTGGATTTAATTTAAGCATGTTGGCATATGATTGCATTTTAAGTCCAGTTTTAGTAGAGCAACTAAACACAAATAATCCATCTTGGTGGTTTTCATATTTGCTTTAAAAACTTGAACTAACTTAAGCAAAGTGTAGTAGATATTTCTGCCAGGATAGTCATATTCGATAGGAGTGAGAATTTTTTGTGACAGTTATAAGCTGGCAAAAGCCCTAGTGTGGTTGCAGCTATACCACCAAAATGTATCTTTGCTAGTACAGCTTATTTTACTTGGGGAACTAGTTAAATTATACTGGTGGAAGCACTGGGAAAGTTTACCAGTGTAACTGTATTGGCAAATTTTTCTAGTATCAGTTAGGCCTTACTCTAGATAAGTTTTTTTCCAACCTTTTGGTTTCGGCAGCACACTTGCCGGGCCTCTCCCATCCCATGGCACACCAGCCGAGTGCAGGGTGGGGTGGGGGGTGGCAAGCAGCTGGCCAGGCACGGACTGGGAGGGGTGGGTGAGTGGCTGGGCACAGAGAGGGGGTTGGTGCGGCTGAACACAGCGTGCAGATGCAAATCACTGGCTGGAGCCACACATCCCATCTGTTGGTCTGTCTGCGGCGGCAGCGGGTGAGAGGCATGGCTCCAGCCAGCAGAGGGTGTGGCTCCAGGCCAAAATTCTGTGGCACACCTGCACGTGCCTCATGGCACAATGGTTGGGAAACACTGTTCTAGGTATTTGAAGTTGCCTAATCAGCAATTTATAAATGCTTCCCAAGAGAAACTATGTATTGGGGGAAAAAATTCTTACCAAAAGCTTGTTGTATATTTACTGCTACAAAAAAGCAATATTGGCCAAGGAAATTTGTAACAAAAAATTAAGTCTTTAACTCCACTGGTAATTGCTTTTAGGCTTCTGTGAAGTGACTAGTATTCACTTCGGATTTGGATTTGGCCGAATCTGGCGGGGGGGGGCGGTGATTCGAATTACTGTCCCGAATTGATTCTGCTGAAATAGTTTTGGCGATTCGGCTGTTGCCGAAACAGTCAAATCTCCAAATCACACAAGCCCTATCCCCCACCCACTCTCCCAGCCCCGTGTAGCCCCAGGTCCTGGCTCTTTGAAAAAAAAAGCCCCCTGTCACTGGCTCCTGCCAGGCGGGGGGTGATCCCCACTGCCCCCCACGGTTCTGGGCTGTGTGGGGGGGCTCTGTCATGTGGCGTAGACACCCATACAGTCCAATGGGTCGCCAACTGGTTAGAGAGTTGCACCCAGAGGGTGGTAGTGGATGGGTCCTTCTCGACCTGGAAGGACGTGGGAAGTGGGGTCCCACAGGGCTCGGTCCTTGGGCCTGCACTGTTCAATATCTTCATCAGTGATTTGGACGAGGGGGTGCAAAGCACCCTGTTCAAGTTTGCTGATGACACTAAGATGTGGGGGGATGTGGGCACAATAGAGGGGAGCAACAGGCTACAGTTGGACCTAGATAGGTTACAAGGATGGGCGGAGGAGAACAGGATGGGGTTTAACACAGACAAGTGTAAGGTGATGCACCTGGGGAGGAACAATCGGCACCACACATACAGGCTGGGGAACTCCCCTCTTGTCAGCACGGAGGTGGAAAAGGATCTGGGAGTCATTATTGACTCCAAGATGAACATGAGTCGGCAATGTGGGGAGGCGGCTAGGAAGGCCAACTGCACCTTGTCGTGCATCCACAGATGCATCTCGAGCAGGTCCAAGGAGGTGATCCTCCCCCTCTATGCGGCACTGGTCAGGCCGCAGCTGGAGTACTGCGTCCAGTTCTGGGCGCCGCACTTTAAGAGGGATGTGGACAGCATCGAGAGGGTCCAGAGGAGGGCCACTCGTATGATCAAGGGACAGCAGGGTAGGTCCTATGAGGAAAGGTTGCGGGACCTGAACCTGTTCAGCCTTCAAAAGAGAAGGCTGAGGGGGGATCTTGTGGCCTGTTATAAACTGGTTAGGGGGGATCAGCAGGCGCTGGGGGAGTCCCTGTTCCCCCGAGCGCTGCAAGGAGTGACCAGGAACAATGGTCACAAGCTGGCGGAGGGAAGGTTTAAGTTGGACATCAGGAGGCGCTACTTCACGGTCAGGGCGGCTAGAGTCTGGAACCAGCTTCCAAGTGAGGTGGTGCAGGCTCCCACCCTGGGGGTTTTTAAGAGGAGGTTGGATGACCACCTTACTGGGGTCATTTGACCCCAGTGCTCTTCCTGCCATGGCAGGGGGTTGGACTAGATGATCTGCTCAGGTCCCTTCCGACCCTAGAAACTATGAAACTATGAGCCTCCAGAAGCCCTGAGGCCACTGCAGCAGCAGGTGAGTACAGGGTTTTTGGTTTTGTTTTTCAAAGGGCCGGTAGCTGGGGCAGGCAGAACAGCCGTGGAGGTGGGCTGGGAGAGCAGGTGTCGGTTGGGGGGCTTGTGGCAGACCCCCCCATGTGGCGTGGGGCAGTGGGGGCAGTGGGGATCCCCCCCCCTCACCTGGCAGCAGCTATTGAATTGGGGCTTTTTTTTAAACAACCAGGAGCTGGGGCCAGGCAGAGAAGCCATGGGAGGGGCTGGGAGAGTGGGTGGGGGTCAGCAGGTGCTCAGGAGGGCTGGGATGGGGCCTGGCAAGGGTCCTCCCATGGTCCCCTCCTCCAGCCTCCCTCCCCCACCCCCTACTTATCAGCACAGAGTCTGGGTTCAGCTTCCTGCTGCAGCTAGAGGGGACTGGCTGAAATGTCAAAGCTCTCTGAATCTTTTCCGAATCGGTTCAGAGAGCTTTGAATCAATTCGGACTTTTAATTGGTCCCCTGATTCATTTCAGATTTGGAGATTTGGCCGCTGAATCAGGCCGAATCTCCTCCAAATCAAACCAGCATTTGAAGCTTCACACAGCCCTAATTGCTTTCATAGTTTCATAGTAGCTAGGAGTCAGAAGGGACCTGAATAGATAAATCATCTAGTCTAACCCCCGGCCACTGTTTGGAGCACACGCTGGGATCACATGACCCCAGACAGGTGTTCATCTGACCTCTTTTTGAATTTACCCACGGTAGGAGCAAGGACCACTTCCCTAGGAAGTTGGTTCCAGATCCTAGCTACCCTGACAATGAAATAGTGCCTCCTAATCTCTAACCTGAACCTATTCTCCAGCAGCTTCTGGCCATTTTTCCTCATCACCCCAGGTGCTGCTGAGGGGATTAGGACCCTTCCTATTTGCTGCTGATCTCCCCTAATGAGTTTGTAGGCAGCCACCAAATCCCCCCTCAGCCTCCACTTGCTGAGGCTGCACAGGTTCAGGTGCCTCAGCCTCTCCTCCTAGGGCCTGCCCCGTTGCCCTCCAACCAAGTGGGTGGCCCTCCTCTGAACCCTCTCAAGGCAGGCCACATCCTTCTTAAAGTGCGGTGCTTTCAGTCTATCCCAGGTTGAGTGTAAGCATCTAAAGGCTGTTTTTCAGTGAGAGGCTTTTGTGATCTCTGTCTATTTTTTATAATGCACAAGTATTTGTATCACAATGACTAGTGAATGTATAGGCAATGTGAACAGAATTAAATGGGGACAGAGACTGAGGTATTCATGTGATAGTAGTTAATTGAATTGTTGATCTACCTGCGTGTGGATAGAAGCGATTTAATCCTTTGGCTTTGTGAGGTTTTATGGATATTAGCTGAACTTTCTGGGCCAAGTTCTTAGCCAGTAAAAACTGGGGTAGCTCCATGGATGTTTCATCAGCTGGGATTGTAGCCCAATATCTGTAAGTACTGCATCCTTAGTATACCTGCTGTCACTGGGAATTCTATTCAATTTTATTGGCATTAGTATGCGGCAAAAGATTTTTTACATTTTTGTGTTGTTCCTTCTGCGCCGTCCGTGGTAAGATTTGCTGCAGGCTGTCATTTTTGTCTACTATCCAATACATGTTGGCAAGAGTGTTGTGTACTAGACTTTGTGTCTGGTCACAGAAAAAAAAATCATGCAGCTCAGCCAGACCATTCTGTTATTCCTTTAGAATTAAAAGCATATGAAACAGATGCAGCTTAATAAGTTTTTTTATAAATAACATCAACTTAAATAACTTAGAACAATAAAGTTCAAATACAACTTAAAATAAAGTTTAATGCTGTAACAACAGAAAAAGCATGTATAACGGTGGGAAAACAATATTTAAAAGCCATATGCCCTAACAGGAATTATACAAAGGATAGGATATGTTACATAAAAAACCTTAAGATGTCTGAATTTTTACTTCGTCGTTATATAAAATGTTATTTTGTGGAAAGTGAGATGAAGTACATTTATTTATTCCTACTCTTGTTATTTTACATACACTATTTTGAAACATCTTATAGAGCAGCTTTTCTTTTCATTAACATGATCGGGGGCAGCAGGGCAGGCCCTATGAGATCAGGCTACGGGACCTAAACCTATTCAGCCTCCACAAGAGAAGGCTGAGGGGGGATCTAGTGGCCTGTTACAAACTAGTCAGACGGGACCAGCAGGCATTGGGGGAGTCCCTGTTCCCCCAAGCATTGCCAGGAGTGACTAGAAATAATGGTCACAAGCTGGCAGAGGGTAAATTCAGATTAGACATCAGGAGGTGCTACTTCATGGTCAGGGCGGCTAGGATCTGGAACCAACTTCCAAGGGAAGTGGTGCTGGCTCCTGCCCTGGGGGTCTTTAAGACAAGACTTGACAGTCACCTTGCTGGGGTCATTTGACCCCAGTACTCTTTCCTGCCAAGGCAGGGGGTCGGACTTGATGATCTGCTCAGGTCCCTTCCAACCCTACTAACTATGATACTATGAAGCAGGTATGAGCATTTTGTAATGGAGCAACCCTCATTTTTCAAACTATCTTTTTTATCGGAATGCAACAGTAACAAATTTACAAGATTATATTTTTTTCTGATCAGTTACAAGATCATAATTTTTTTCTTATCATCATTAGGGTTTATATTATCAGTTTTTTGCAGGGGAAATTATTTAAAATACTGCTCAACCTCCACATTTAACATTGACTTGATAACATGACGAATCATTCCAGCAGCCTTAAAGTCCGACATATTTTACATAACATTATCATCTGCTTTATTATTATTATAGCAGCCATGTTTAATAAGCAGATAGGTTTTTTTTTTTAAATAAAATATCATCAGATGATCAAGTCATGACTTATTCTTAAGGGTAAATTAATTTAAGAAACTACCCAGTTACTGTACTAACATAATGATTGTACAACTCTTTACAATTTTTTACAACTTTTAGTTACTAAATCTGTTTATTGTGTATATTTTCAAATCTTCTTTAATGCAGTCTCTCAAAAATAAACATAAATGCGCAAGTCCAGCTTGTTCAGTTTCTCAGTAGTTTTCCAGCCTTCCTTGATTACTTATCAGTCTCTTTAAAAATAATCTTCCTGCTGGAACTAGTTTTGAATAGATCATATATGATTAGGATATTGCCAAAGGAAGGAAGTGGGATGCTTTGTGTTCTTTCTTTGTTTTTTTACCTTTTATAGGGATACCTTTATGGTTTAATGTAATAAACATCTCGTTCCCTTTGTGTGTCCATTTTGCTGAAGCATAAGTATTGTAATGGTTTTCTTCAATCAGTTCTATGAAGTTGCAGTCTTCATTGCATACTTTCTGTTAAGAATGAATGATACCATATTATAACATTAGCACTTTTGTTCTTTAAATACATAATGAGAGTGGGGAGGCTGGGGGAGGAACATATACCATGTAATTAATGCCATATGTTATTAAAATACTTTTTAATAAGAATAGGATTTTTCTAAAGCAAAATTAAAGCTCTCATCCTTACATTTTATAAACAAACATGAGTCCTGTATTGGGTAGAAACGCAATTCCTTTCTGTTTGTTAGCCATAATTAACATAAGCTACATATATGTCAAGTAAAAATGAGCTAATAAGAAATATTTTTTGAGATTGAAATATTATTTTTGTATATTGAGTACAAATCTATAACATTATTAGTACCTTTCCATAGAGTTTTCCAGATTTGTTCATTGCTAGAAAGTATTCACTTTCCACCCCTTTGATTGCCACTATTCCAACAGCCACCGTTCTTATTTCCAGAATACCTGCAAAGAAACAGAATGAGGTCTATGAACTATTCATTTGCGTCTTAAGGATTGTACAGTACTTCTGGTTTTATTTAAAATCTGTTGAAATAGTGAGGATGGTTATTAAGAAATAGTTCATGTCATTACACATACGGAGGACAGATTAGCTCATGGTTCTTTGTTTACAGACGTGTGTGTGTATGTGCACACACACACACACACAGAAACTACATGCTGGATCCTAGCGTTATATTCCTAAATTTCCTTGTTAATCTAAGCTGTCTCTATAAGTGTTTTTCAAGAATAAAAATCTTTTTCTTGAATTTTATTTAGCAGGGGGTTCCTTTTGAAAGAAACATAAACATTTTAGGTAGGATTCACAGGAATTTTGTAAGCACTACACTTAAAAGATTAGTGAGAATTTTACCAGAGTCACCTCCTTGAAGAAGCATAAACCTTAGAACTTGCAAATGATGGAAAACAGACCCCAATGTCTGAAAGAAGATAAAGCATCTGCTTGACCCTTTGAGGCTTTGAAAACTGATAGGACCTGTAAAGTTATCTATGTTAGAAGAGAAATAATACAAAAGACAATTGAAAAATTTTTATGCAAATATTTTAACATAGAAGTTTTGGAGTTGTCTTAAATTGCAATACATTGATTTTTAGCTGGAAAACATGCATATACAAGAAGAAACATGCATAGTTACTACAGTGCTTTAAAATTACCTGTAACATAAAAATGTTCTTTTGTTGATTTAAAGATATTGGAATCAAAGTACTGGGTAGTTTTCAAACTTAAGCAGTTAAATAGTTTAAAGATTTCAGTACTTTTTGGCTGGGATGTGCTTTTTCCAACCACGAGCCCACTCTCAAACCAGTAACTATTGAGCTTCCTCTTCTGACATACTAGGCTGGCTATCTTCAGCAAAGGAGCTTTCGGGAGAGAGAAGATTAAGGGCACATTCTGAATAGTGCACACAGGCAGGGGCATGCATTTCTTGCGGAACAAGTAGTAGCAGCATAGATTTGTGCTGCTATTTGTCCCCAGGTGTACACCTTCATGCGTGCTTTGGCACGTGGCAAAGAGACCCAGGTGGGATAGGGGCGGGTGGGCTAAACTTGGTCCACGCTGTCTGCTCCAGCTGAGCAAGGAGGCATGCTCTAGAGCCCCCCAGCTTCTGGCCTGAGCCCCTGCAGGCATGTGGTTGCATTTCCAGAATCAAAAGTGACCGTCTGTTCACTTGCTTATTGGTTCAACCTGTGCAGCTTAGACTAACCTGTGAAGATTGAATAGAGTCAGCCTTGGGCTTTTTGACTGTCTGTACTTAGCCTTAGACTCTAGTAGACTCTACTAGACTCTAGTAGCAGGAAAATCAAGGGAAAGACATTAAGTAAAAAAGCTGGGAATGGGTCTAGTAACTAGATGACTTGTCTCTTCCCTTACTCAGTGCTCTCTTGAGCTTACCTCTCCTCTCTCTGTCTCCGGTTAGACTGTAATGTTAGGCTTTAAAATCTAACACAAACTTTCAGTGAAACTTTCTGAGGTCTTTGACAAGTTTCACTCTGCTGCAAGCTTTGCAGAAACAGAATTGAATGGAACAACTTCAAAGTGGAATTTACAAAAATTGTATTACTGGTAACTTTCACTTAAAACTCACTGTTGTGAAACCACAGTGGAGCATGTAAAATGAATGGTCAGCTTTCCTGCAGCCTGTCAAACATACATTTGACATTTCTGATCTATATGGAAAGAAAACTCATAAATATTCAGAATGATTTTGCAGCATAGGTATATAAATGAGTCTGCTATTTGGTCAGTAACAAGAATTGAGATTTCCCTGAGTAAACTGCTGTTGTTGGCTGAACTAGCATAACTGTTTCGAAGAGCAGCATGTAATGGGAAATAGTATTACTTTTAAAGGAAAGATGCCAGAAGTTTTTGCCTAAGAAAATTATATTGTATTAAATTTGAAATGTCTAGATTTTAATTGTAGTCACTTATTTTTTAATTTGATGATGAAATCCACCTTTAGATTTTGAGGATTACTTTGTTTTGTTTTCAGGTTTCATGCCCCTCTCAGACTTTTGTCATCCAAGTGGGAACCTTCCAGTTGGGTTGTACGTGCCATTTGACTATAATTTTGATTGTAATCCAGAGGGTATAGTCAAATCATCAAGAATCAGAACCATATGGCCAAACAAATAATCACAGCATTTCAAAATCCTGTCCTGGAATGTGAGTGTTGACTACCATTGAAGTCATGGGGAGATGCATTTGAATATTCAGGGATAGAATTACCGTAATTATTTAGTCTGAAGAAGAAAAGACTGATGGGAGAGAGAGATTTGATAACAGTCTTCAAGTATCTGAGAGGGGGAATTGAGAATTATAAAGAGGAATTGATACAACCTAGCCTCTCTGGTTGCAAGAGACATGACAAGCAATAACAGTCTTAAATTGAAAAAAGGGAAATCTAGGCTGGATTTTAGGAAGAACTTTCTAACTATGAGCTTGGTTAAGCATTAGAATAGATTACCTAGAATAGTTGTGAAATTTGCATCCTTGGACGTTTATAAGCGCAGGTTAGACAAATACTTGGTTGGAAAGGTTTAGTCATGAATGATTTTGCCTTGAGCAGAGGTTTGGACTAGATGACTCTTGAGGTCCATTCCAGCCAGACTTTTCTATGATTCTGTGATATAATTTGGCATTGCATCTTTGGTTCCTGATTTAATCATTGGAGAGTCTGAACTATTTTACAGAGTTGAGGCATTTTACAGAATAAAACTCCAGCTAATGTAATTATATCATCCAGATGTATTAAAAGGCAGTGTCAGTGGCAAATTAATAATAATGACAGATTATTCTGAGGTTTTTTTTTCCCAAACTCCTGTTTTTCTAAATAAAAATTACTGTAATTACTTGAATATAAGACAACCCTGATTATATGATGGCCCCCCAGTAATTAGATTCTGTATATGGAACATTTATAAATTTGTTATGATTTTCCAGGTATAGAATCCAATTATTGGAAGTTTCCCTTGAGTTTGTCTCCCTCCCATTGTTACAGCAGGGAAAATAAATTTGGGGGGTCATGTAGCCCTCTTGCCTTCTGCCCCCCAACTTCTTTCCTCTGTAGCTCCTTCCCCCACTCCTTACTGTCAGACCCTGCTCTCCCTGAACACATGGAAGTTAGAAGCACATTTGAAAAAATTGACCTAGAAACAAACATAACTGTAGTAACTTGCATATAGAAAAATTAATACAGGTGCCCATAGACTTAGCTCATCCAGAATGGAGGCAGTTTACCTCTTTTGAAACTGCTGGAAGTTTTAGCACAGGTATTCCATAAACACACTTTTAAGCAGCACTTCTGTACTTATTTGAATATAGTACAAGTTAATTTTTTTTTTGCAAATACATATCTATCTACCTTAGATATAGATATATAATATCTATTTATCTCTATCTCTTATAGATAGATATAGATATCTATAGATAGATATAGATATGCTTTTATATATGTTTTTATTTACACACACACACAGACACACACAGACACAGAGACACACACACACACACACACACACACACATATATATATACCTTTGCTGACCTTTCTCATAACTGACATGGTTCACTTGACAGTCTGTAACATCTACAGTTAGCCATCATCATCCCCATTAATATAACTGCACCCATGCGCCTAGACATCCACATGTCTGTCACCATATAATTTAACCATTACAACCATGCAAAACCACCCTGTGCCCTCTAGCCTTCCCACCCCTCACCCCTCTCACTATCCCTCTGTTTCTTTCCCTAGTCCTTAATCAGTGTCATCTTTGTTATCCTCTTCCTCTCTGTCATCCTCATTGCTCAGCTTCTCTGTCATGATCATTGTTCTCTTCTTTTTCATAATCATTGTCTTCTTTGGCTTCCCATTCTTAAACAGCCTGTGCCATTCTTTCCTCTTCCATGTGTTTTCCACCCTCTTATTCCTGTCATCTCCTACCTCTTATAGTACAGCTGTAGCTCACTCACTTCCATTCTGACGCAGTCCTTAACTAGGAGGTTCATGTGCCTATACAAGAACAGGTTCCTCGTCTTCCTCAGGGCATTTCTGAAGCAGGACACGTACTGGTCAAAGTGGGCTGTTGGGGTCCCTTGCTGTCTGAACCGCGCTACCTCTCTGTTTAGGGTTTTGACTCCTGTTGCCATCTGAAGGAGTTTGCTTTCTCTCCCCCACACTTCCTTGGCATACAGGCAACTCCAGAGGAGGTGGTCAATTGTTTCCTTCTGCCACTGGTTTGCCCCTCTGTTTCATCACTGGCACAGGGAGTGCCCAGTGGGTTACCTGCCAGTTTAAGTCTCTGTGCTCCTTTTGCAAGTCCTTTTGGAACATTTGTTCCCACACAGCTTTGGCAGCTGTTGATGGGTAGTATGTTCATGGGAAACAGTCTTTCTTTTGCCCTTACCACCTCCTGCATCTTATGTGGGTTCATCATGGTCATCAGGGACTTGTTGCATAACTTGTGTCTATTCTGGAAGTGGTCCAGGCGTTTGTAGAACCACAAAGAGTGGGACCATGCTGTACAGGCACATGTTGTGCAGAAAGGACACCCACCAGCATTGCAGCAGATGCCCTAAGTACTTCACAAACTAGGCTGTTTTGGAGTCTGCCCTGGCTGCCCGTTTGCAGATCTGGCTTGTGTAGTTACCCCAGAGAAACAGCAGAATGTCCAACATTCTTCAGCCCCCAATCCATTTTGTCTTGTACAGTGTGGCTCTCACAACCTTCTCCCATATGGAGCCCCAGAAGAAGTGGCACATGGCTTTTTCCATTCTATGGATGATGTGCTTTGAGAGGGGGGAAGACCAGTGCTGTGAATACAAGCACTGGTAACAACACCGTGAGTACTACATGCCCCTTCCGTTGACAGGCAGTACATGTTCCAGAGTCCCAGTGGTAAATCTCTGTTTGACTTCAGCATTGGTCTTTTCCCATGCTTTC